CTACATAGCCACAGTTATGCAAAATTAACCTTCTGCATCTGAAGACTAGGTGCCTGATCTTCCTTCTGCAGAGATTAAACCAATATGCTCCCCTTGGCTTCAGAGATGGCAATTCTGCATTTTTAAAGATTGTTTCTTTAACTAAATTGCATTACATTTCATTTCAGATCTCAGCTTGTTAGGGACTTTGTTTTTCAGGATGAAAAACTAAAATGCCATTGGTTTGTTTCTAGAAAGTGGACTCAGAGACCTATTAGTGCACAAGTTCAACAGAGATGAGATGTAACACAATCACCTGCTCAACAACTATTTTCAAAGAGAAAATGGTTTGCCCCCATTTGTCCACAAAACAGGAAAGGACGTGATCATGAACATGATTAAGTGTGGTACCAAGCATGGATCATATGCTCAATATCAAGTAATTCTTTCTTTAATCGATTTTCTCACCTTCATTCACTTTAACACTGCAAGCCTGTCCTGCTGCACTAAATGTGAAAACTCATTACAAAGGACTATTTGTCCTCCACATTCATAATACAACAGTAAGTATTAAATACACTTGTGATACAATCTAAGTTATTATATACCATGTGAAGTTTTTTCTTTATCAATGAGTTTATCTGAGTTTAATAAAGCTATTAAAAATGGCTGAAAATTGCTTTTCCTGAAATAGCTTGTTGTGCCAAATGTCTTCCTATTTAGCTCAGACTCCACAAAGACACTTTGCCTCAATCTCCTTTGCATTTCTGAACACTTGTCCATATCTGCAGTTATTTCAGTATTTCAGTAATATCTGCAATATTTCAGTCACAAGAAGAAAGCAAAACCACGTTAATTTTTTACATTTCTTGTAGTACTTGACCAGAATTTGAAAAGAATAAAGAGACTGTACATTAAGAAAGTTATCACTGAAAAAAGTACTGTAAGAAGTGTTTGGCCGCAGTTCTTAGTGTCTTGAGACCTACTGATCATTTCCTTCTTACAGCGAAAGGGCTCTCAAAAAGAGTAGTTTTGTTGTGGAACTATTTGCATATAGAACTACAGCATGCCAAAACTATGCGTTTGAGCACTGCCACAAGCCTTGGTCAGGTTCTCGCTGTATGGTTCAGAGATGAGAGTTAATCAGGAAACTCCTGCAGCAGTGCCTCCTTTCTAAAATGCCACATTTCATCATGAAATAGAAGAGCATGCCACAGTCCCATCCAAGAATTCACTGTGCCAATGTTCTAACATTGCTGCAGGAATTGGTTGCTCTTCTTAAGCTTTTCAAGAAGGTTTAAACACCATCTAGCAATGGAGTTACGGCTTTCCAATTACAGAAGATTTCACAATTGCTCTTGAAGTTCAAGCACACTAGAAATACTTAGAATTGGCCCTACACAGATATAAATTGGTCTCAGCTTTGGGATGGGCTCCACATTACAGATCAGCCTGCAGAACCAGGATTTACTTTGTACTAAAAAAAGTGTTCTCTTGCTTTCAAGACCTCAACAGGTAACTGAGACACTGGGAACCATGTCAGAGGCTACCCACACTTGCAGCACTCAAGGCAAGAACAGCTCAGACACCCTGAGCACCCACACAAGTGCTGCTAAGGCACCTCATCCCACCTGCAGTGTTATTACTGGCCATCCACATTTCTCCCTACTTCTCTCCCTTGCCCAGAAAAGTCACCTGAATACAATCCAAGCATTGGCAGGGTCTCCCCCAGGCTGTGCAGATGCCCAGCAGCCAAGGCAGTCCTTGAGCCATAAAGCAGGTTCTGCCCACCTCTAACTGCATGTTTCCCCCAGCCATGCCCTGAACTGTCCCTGCTTTATGTATGATGCAGTGGAAGAGCTCACAGCACCCCCAGGAAGAGTGACTGGTGATCCCATTCTGACCCCCCCAACAGCCAGCACTGGATCCTATCTCACAGGTATCACAAGAGAAAGACTTGGTCCCTCTCCAGTCCACAGTACTCATTAACACTACCCTGAGGAGGGACAGCTGGGGCCACAGCAGTTTTTGTGGGACACTGAAGTGCTCCCCTAGAGGAAAAAACAAGGCTGCTCTGTAGTCTGCATGGCCATGGTACATTAAGCTACCAAATAGAGGACCTAGCTCTTCTCTTCACAAATTAAAATTACTCCTACTGGATGGACTACAATAATTTCAGAGAAATAAATACCTATTTTAAGGGGAATTTGACAATTAAGATGTGTTGGGCTAATGGGATTTAACAGGTTTTTCAGTGTGATCTAATGAATTCTGAAATACAGTCTCAGGTTTTGCTGTAGAGACAGCTCAACCTCAGCAGATCCCAAGATAAAAATCTTTTAGGAGCATTATGTACTTAGCTGACACAAATAACATTTTAATTACAGTTAATAAGAGTCAGATTTTGTTTTGAATTCCATGATGTCAAACCTGGCATGCTCCTTTAAGGAGTCTGTACAGAGAGCACAATAGATTTTTCTGTAACTCATCTAGACTTTTTTTGCTCATGTCAATTTGACCTTGAAGAGAACATGATGTCCTTCGAGATTCTTATTTTAAAGAAAGTCACACTCAAGGCCAACAACTCTTCCACTAAAGAGACCTCTATCTTTAGCTGGAGAAATCTGTTGCTTTAACATGGATTAGAGACAGCATTCCTTGTGCTCCCAGTTTGCAATATAACACAAATACATCTGAGCTCTGACTTCAGAAGTAGCACCACCACTAATCCCCACGCTAGAATTTTTTGTATGAGTGTTGGGAATCTGATGAGATAGGCTGTTAAATACAGCAAGGGGATGCAAATCTGAACAAGCTGATTTAAGGCCTGGTCTTTTAATTAGAAAGAAACAAGTCTCAAGTTACTACAGTTTGAATAGTCCAATTGATTTCAGTAAGCATTTTTATGTATTATCCATTATTAAACTATCTGCAAATTGGGGCCATTACACTAACAATCAATTGTAGCTGCTGTCAGTTAATTCATTACATTTGCCCACATGTAACATCTGTTGTTTTTATTGATATCATAGGCTGTCCTTCAGATTTCATTATCCTGCAGCAGTTCAGCAGATAGCCATGAATACTGCTGTAACCTGACTAGGACTTCACTAAATACTTCAGTGGAATTAAGGAAACAAGACTGATAACAACAGATATTTTCCTACCATTACTGTTCTGCGGAACTGTGAGCAATGTAAAGAAGGAGTTCAGAAAATCCACAGGACCAAATTTATCTATGTATTATGGTATTCAAATGCACATCAATACTTTTGTTTACTTGATCCAGAAAGCAAATACATAAAATTCAAGCTCAGTAGGGATATTTATCTAAGATAGGAAGCTGATAATTTGTGTTTGAGTTATAGCATCTTTTAAAGAGATATTCAGTCATAGCTTGAATACTCTACGTGTTGAAGAAACTACCACATGTCTAGGGAAGTTGCTCCAGTCATAACTATCTTTGCTAATAAGAGACTCCCTTGTTTCTAGTCTGAATTTACATAGCTTCACTTTTTGTTATTGGATTTGTGCTTTTCCTGCTGAATGTAAGAGCTATTTTTCCCCTACAACACTTGTTGACTACTGTCAGCTCTTAACCTTCACCCGGAGAAATTAATAGACCAAGTGGAAATTTGTCAAGGCACGGCATTTCCATGTTCCCTAAAATTGTGGGTTTCTGCCATTTTTTTTGTATTTTGATGTATGCTTTGTGGAATTTCACACCAAAAGGGACAACGTCAATTCTACACCCCCAAGAACATTTCCTGATCTATCGATGTTCGTGCTCAGTGAACAAATCCCCATAAACTTGTCCTCACACATTAGAGCTAATTACTTAAATATAGTAGCTTTATAACAGCAAAGTAATTAGAAAATTTAAAAACAATTAAAGCACATAGATATCTTGGTACGTAATTCTCACTGACAGGATGAAAAATAACATCATAGATTTAAAAGCATGCAGCTTTAATAGCTGTGGCTTTACTGCAGCCTTCCTCTACTGTGAAGCTTGATTTTTACCCCCCTAGGATCGATATAATTCATAGATTATTTCACAAGCTCATACAGAAAAGTTTGTATTTTTTCTTCATTGGGATCCAATAATGCTTCCACCACTGTAACGTTGGACATGACCAAAGTCAGGATTCAGTTCTATCAAACAAGGATTTCTTATAACTACCCTTTACTTAAAAGAAGCTAGACCAAGTTCAAGTATTTTTAGAATGTCTGATTTTATCAAAACTTCATATTTGGGTGTGTCATTTTTAGCTTTAGGCTGCATTTCAGTTCCCAGAACCCTAAAAAAAAAGAAATCTCCCTAACAACAAAACCACAAACTTTTGACATTTTTTACCCATACTTAAAAAGTCAGTTTTGACAGGAATGATGTTTTCCAGTAAGGTCCACATTGTTGGAAAATAAATGCAAACAAGTATTTAGTTCTACTTGGTGCTCTTTAGAAATGGCAGTATAACCCCCTGAACTTATGAAAACTTATTCACGGGAAGCGATCACTCCAAACAGGACCTATTAACCCACTCCTTAGCTGGAGCAAGTTTCTATGTCAAGGTGTCTCCCAAGAAACTGCAAAAAGCAATCACTTCTCAGCTCCCCACGTGTACCCTGCTTTTTTATTTCTTCTCTGATTCTCTGGACATCTCACTAATTTCTCCTGAGCTGTGTACATACACGCACACGTGAACTCATACATATGTATCTACTCTGGCTGACTGCCTTTTTCTTTTAAAAAAAAAGTTTCTTTGACCAGTGCACACATTCTCTTCCTATGCCAAATCAATTACTACACTGGGCTACAGCACGTTGGGCTCAGTGGCTTCTCCTGAAGTTAGTTGCGTGTGGATATCACTGCACCTCACAGACACAGGTGATGCTAGTTTCACACAAGTAGAGAGCAATTCAACCCAAGATCTATAAAATAATCATGACAACATTTGGGCATGTTATTGTCTACTTTACCTACTTTACAGTCTTAACATAAAAACATTCAAAATTTGTGGTCACTTAAATTGGTTGCTTTATTGATACAGAAAATACTAGAGAAAATGAGGGTAGGGGATTTCTGTTCCTTTATGACAGAAACAGTACAAGATCAAGATCCAGGGCAGCTAAGTTCAAGACTGTCATTAAAGATCTGGTAAGTTAATTACCAGTATTAACAATTAGAAGCCAAGCACAATGTGAGGATATATTTAATGAAACCCATGCCTCAGGCAGTAGAGATGACAAGGCACATGACATTAAATATCTTCATATTTAATGCATTGCACAATTATTGCAGGAGATTTTGGCCTTCTGCTAAGGAGTGTCTGTGTACAGGGGACTGGGAAACACACGGCAAAAAGACCTGCTCTAGCTGCTGTGGCAGGTGCCTCTACCTCTCTGAAACAGTTTCAGCAGTGACATTGAGGTGAAAGAATACAGGATCAGTACAAAGGGAATTAAACCCAGTCTTCTTCGCCTCTCACAGATTTCTCTGCTCCAGGAGAACAGACAACCAGAGTTACTGTGGAGGTCAGCATGGAAATAGCTGTGCTTAATTAATTCAACATGAAGTTTAAAACTAGATTCAAAAATTACATGAAGCAGTGATATTGAAGAAAAATTGTTACTTATAATTCAAAAGACTTGGAGGGAAATCATAAGTATCTGTACAAGCTTAAAACATTAAGTTTTTCTATAAAGCAAGAAACAGAAGCAAAAATAATTGTGACATAAGAAAATATTTCAAGTTTCTGTAAAATTTCTTTTGAACAAGAAAGTTTGCCTCATTAACATGTACTGTGAGAAGCTACATGGAAGCAGCTAGGTGTGTCCAGTCATACAGTAAACCGCATAAAATGATCAAGCCACTCTTAGGATTTATTCACAGGGTAAATATCTATGGCTTTAGCTCACAAAGCAACACTTCCTGCAGATGCAACACGGAAACCACCAAAAGTCTGACTCATTACTACAAGTTATAAATCACAGATTAAATCTTGATGAAAGTAGCCATGGAAGAGCCCACAGTTTTGAGATCACTGGTGTGGTATAAACAGCTCTAGCATTAGTAATCTTATTTGATAGGGTTAAAGTGAATTACAACTTTTCTGAATTACCCTGTTAGACTCACGGGGTTAAATAATGAAGGTTCAGGTAGAGATCTTACTTTTCAGAGCTTATTCCTGTTAACAGGACAAGCTTAAAATTTTAAAGCTGCTCTTATTTTTGAAGGACTATCAGAATACTTCACAGAAGAAGTGTTTTTCCCCCACTGTTTTTTTTTATTGCATTCAAGCACATGACTTTCATGAATTTTCTATCCATGATAGATATTGTTGAAAGGACACACCAGAACTAAAAGTATTGTTTCAAAGTCCTTTGCATTATGAATCAACTACGGAAGGGTCTAGACCAACATAAGATAGAGGTACAATTTGTTTGAAAGCTGCAAGGAAAATTAAAAATAGTGTCACTCTAAGAAGTTCAGGCAATAGTGATGAAAACCATTTTCCTTCTAGAGTTCATATGCCACTGATATTCTGAGAAGAAAAAAAAAGACATCAAAAGGATGATCACACATTGCTCCCAATGAACACTAAATACAAGCACGTTTATATATAATATTGGCTTTTTAGATAGCAATCTTAAGTGCCTGAAGGTAGCCACATAAAAGGACTTGACTTACCTTCACCCATTTCCCAGGTACTTCATTGCAAGTCTCCCTTGCTCTGGAAAAAATGACTTGCTTCTCAGTCCACATCCACTGCCTTCCCTAAAGGGGAAAGAAGAGCTGTGTTAGCAATGCAGCCACAGCTTCCAGAGCCTGCAAGCGGGCCACTGAGCTTGCTATGGAGCTAGCCCACCTTTGTCCCACACCATCCTGTCTCCCATCAGGGGGTCTATCTACAGGAGAAAGGACCCCGCGTTTTCCATCAAAACACCAGCTCCTTGGGAACAACTGATAAAACAGCCACACACACAAACATGCCCTTTCAGACATCTCTCACTTGTTCAGTATCATAGGTGGGTCATCTGAAAGCTTAGATTTTTATCCTAATTCTTTGGTATTAGTGCTAACCTCAAATAGTTTTTCACTTGGTCCCTAGGCTTTTTTCAAGCCAGGACATCCTTGGAAGACCCCAGCATTAAACAAGCACTTAGCTCAGCTCCCAGGGGACTTTTAAATTACCATAAACAATAGAAACACCTCGGTAGCACCACAAAGTAACACTGCTCCCCTTCCCCAGGCCCCCTCACCTCCAAGGCACCCAGAGGCTGCACATCACAGAACCAAACCCAGCTTCGCACTGCCCACAGCTTTCCTGCCCTGCACGTGGCAGCAGGAAGGTGAAGATCCTAGGACAGCTGAGCCTCATGGCCCGAAACGATAGCAGCTCCAAGAGAGGCCCAGGTGCTCAGGCTGGCACATTCATCACACCTGGGGCTGGTTGATCTGGCAATTGTGGGTGCACTTGGATGTTGCACATGAAGTAAAACTTTTCACCCCATCCCAAACAAAGCTCTCTTTGACATCAATACATCCAGATATACCTGAGAAAATCTGTTTTATCTGGCAGAGCATTTTACAGGTGCATATACTGTAATTCAATAGGATTGCATGACTCACTCTGTAATTAGCAAGAAGCCTTTTAACAGGCACAAACAAGATCCCAGGAAACTAATACCTTCCAGGAAACTTCTTTCTCACCTTCTAAGAGTCATACACCAGGGTGAGGAGCAGCTGGCCAGGCTGTCCATGAGCAGAGACAGCTGGCAAGTACCGCTACAAGGTTTCTGCAGAGCCAAATTCAAGACATTAGCAATAAAAATGAATTTCATTGTATTCAGCTGTTCAGAAACAAACGTAAGGAAAAAACAGAACAGGCAACAACAATGGATCTATTCTTGTTAAGTATGCTTCGGTTTTGATATTCATGTATTCCTATGCAGAAGTTAACAGTATACGTATTGCCATGACTTTTTGTTTCTAGGAGGTGTTGATTGAACTATGCAGACCTTTAAGAGGAAGACGTTGGAGTCACCACTCCTGTAACAACTTTATCATTTAGCTACAGTATAGTCAGGCAAGGAATCAACTAAGGGACCTGCTGTGAACGTGCCCAGTGTCAAGAGGAAGAAAATGTGTGTAAAAAGTGCACAAGCAGCTAAGGTAAACATTGTGTTAGCAAACCTCTTGGTATTGCCTTTGTTATATGAATTTCAATTTCTGTTTCCCTACAGGGTCATTGCTATAAGCAAAACAAAGGGAGAAATAAGCCCTGGACTTGTTCAGGTGAAGAGAAACTCACACCCATTCCAGTCCCCCTTGACTTGTTCCACCTCAGGTTTGTGATGAAGTAATGCAGACTAGTTTAGCTTCTGCTACCCACTGAAGTCTCAATTCTATCTGATAGTCAAGTCAGCATTTGCAGGGAGAGGTACCAGCCTTCATTACCACTGGAAAATTAAAATAAATAAATAAAATAATAATCATAAAAAAAAAGCTGAGTAGTTTGCAGGCACTCAGCCTCTCAGCCCAGGGCAGGCTATGCAGAAAAGAAGCCAATTTCAGACCTGAAGACAAGCTGAGTGCCTGAAAGCCTGTCTTTTTCCAAGAATATCAATCTAATAAAAACTATTACTTCTTCCCACAGATCCTGCCGCCCTCTTAGACTATCATGGTTTCAGAAATGATCTAACAAGCATCTGGGAGCCACTGCTGGCAGGGGCAGCCGAGTTCCAGCAGTGTTGTCTGTGCCAGGCCATCCCTCTCATTTGCCAGCCAGAAATAAAAAGATGTGCTCCCTGTAAGAGGACTTTGAAGGGAGGGTGGCCATCATGTTCACCACAATTAGAGAGAAGACTTGTAAAAAGTATACTATGGGATTATAAAAGAACAACCTTGCTACTTTTTATGTCTCTAGTTCAAAGCTGCCAAGCCTCTCTTTCTCTGCTGGAGTAAGGCTGATTTAGACCACAAGATACAGATTGTTACAGATAAATTGCCAACTTCAGGCCAAAGTAGGAACAAAATACAGTTTTTAAAGAGGCAGGTAGAGCTCATAGAGAAATGCATCAACCCTTCCCATTCATCTCTGACCTTTTACAGAATATGAAAACTCAGTCAATTAAAGAAAACCAAAACTAAAAAGCCAAACCAAAAACCCCAAACCAACTCCAAACTTTTTTTTCTTTAACTAAACACTACAGCTGGATTTACTAAAATTATAGTCAAGACCACTGGAAAATTGCTAGGGTGATAAAACAGCTTGTATCATAACCACCACTTTCATTCTGCTGTGTGGTTTGAGAACTCATCTGGTTTACTCTTGGCATTTTTCTTGTCTGAAAATATGTTGCTACATGATCCTTAGTGGTTAAAACTATGGCTGAGTCATTCTAGTCTGCCACAGTCAACTTATCCTTCAGAAAGCTTGCTCCCACCACAGTGTTTGGAGAGCGATTGGACATGCTTTAGCTCCTGCAGAGCATCCCACAGAAGGAGACTGTATATCCACAGCTTGCAACCATACAGGAAGTTTTTTGGAAGGCACTAGCCAAGAAAATGGAAGAAAAGTGTCTAAACAAAGTAAGAGCGAATGCAAAGCTAATTTCTGTAGTTGTTAGCCTCTATCAAATCTTGGCCAGAGAGTATTTTAGAAAACAGACTGCTTCCTGCACATCTCATCTTCCACTTGTAGGCTGTCACTGAGAGATGAGGATCTCTCTACAGCAGATTATCTGTTTGACTGATTAGTCAGATGGGAAGAAAAAAGGGATGCAACAAGACCAGGACTGGGAGAAATGAGAGACTGAGACAAGGTTGACTGAGAGCGTGCAGTGGGATGGAGAGAAGTGAGCCTGCCAAATAAGCTCACTAGAACAAGATCACTTTCCATTGTCCTCCACTTCTGCTTGCCAATACTGCATGGGTATCCCATGCTGGTCTGCAAACCCAGCAGACCATTATTCCCCTGGCTTCTGTCATCACATGCTATAAATATACACGCTTTGAACACTAAAGATGTGGCAAGTATCCCCCTGGAGACTTGCTGGGTTTCCATTGCATGTGCCACCCATGAAATAAGACCCTGATTCTTTCTCATGAATAGCAATTTCTCCCTCCATGGCAATAAAAAACTTTAGAAGTCCCTGAATGTGTTGAACTTTCATATTTTATCCCAAAACTCAGCATCCATCTCATTTACTATTTGGCACCAGTTGGTTTATCATGGGAAAAGATACCAAATTGTTGGTGAGATTAGTCAGGCAAAAGGAAAGAGCCACATCAAAAAGCAAATATTTAAAGCAATCCTATGAAAAACTGTTCTTGGGCTTTCATTCCTTGAGTAATAACAGATCTTACTGGAAGTATAAATTCGGATATATAATCTTAAATGATCAGAGAAGTAATTCAACAGACTGTGTTTTCAGACAGTTCAAAGACACCATAATAAACTTTTTTACTGCAGCCCCCAAAGATTGCACAGCAGAAAGGTGAATTCTGTACTGTGCATGTCCTACCCTAAGTCTATTTCATTCCACTTGGGCATCTTGTTTCATCTTGTTTTCACTGGTTTTAAATGACTTCCTACCTGTCTGTGGGCAGTGAAAGACAGCTAGGTATGGCTTGTGTAAAAGAGCTAGCCAGCTTTCTCTAATTGTTCTCCCTGCATAGCTAGACCTCACAGTAAGCACAGGTAGACTTTTCGTGGTTGAGTAAAGTTGCTGGAAGCTGGTGGAAGTAGGCTCTCTCCAGGAAACTCCATGCAGTTAACACGCACACAGCGGCAGTGAAGGAAAGAATCCCATGACCCTGTGCTGGAGAAGCAGTGAAGCAACATAATGGCCAGGGTTTAAAACACAATGTAAACACAGCAGCTTTCTCTGGACCAAAACAGTGCAGGATTTCATAAAATGAAGCAATTTTTTTTTATTTTTTATTTTTTATTTTTTATTTTTTATTTTTTTTACCCCATGACTTTTGCTTGAGCTATGCAAGAGAAAACATAACCATGAAGACCTGGCCCAGAATACTGGCAATGCCTTAAACATCTCTGAACAAAGCCCAAGCTTTATCAACGTAAGCCCATGTATCCTTTGACAGAATAAAAAGTGAAAAAAGCAAAAACTACCACATGTAAACTGTTACCAAAAATTAACCACAAGTATCTTTTCCAATTACAGGCAGAAATTGTGGCTATGTTGGACATTCTGTGGCAAACTTCAGCAAATGCTGCAGTTACAGTGGCAGATACCATATGCAATACTGCCAGTTCTGAAAGATATCAATTCTGAAAGATGGTTCCTGAATACATGTTTTAACACCACCTTCCTGAAATGCACAGGTGATTGCAACAACGTTGTCTGAATTTTCTCAGGTCCATGATGCAAGGGTAGAACAATAACAGAGTTAGGGAGTGAGAGGTGTGAGGGGATGTCTTCACTGCCAGACAACTGACCTTGCCTCTGTCGCCCTCAGGCTTTTCACAAAATTTTGAAAAGTTTCAGACTATTCAACATGAAATAAGAAAAATCCAGATTTAAAATATATATATATTAAATAGAAGTGTTTTCTAGATAAATGTTTATGTTGTCAGAGATGAGCCCATAATGCGATTGCAATACTAAATATAATCTTTAGATTGTAACACTATATTGATCGTGACAATAATCAGCACATATAAAGTTAGACAAAACCCTATTTTTCCCTAATTTGAGTGCACAATGCAGTTGTGAAATCCCTGTAATGCTGCATTTTTAGTTAGTGCGTTTTTAAATTTGAGAAGTACTCTGTGAATGAAAAATGATTAAAACTAAAGTTGCCAGTATCTTACATGTTACGCATTTAGAGATGTTTAGACTTGTTTAGCTTAATGCTAGGTCCCCAACTTTCCTTCCCCTCCAGTAACTCAGAACTCTTATTTATTATTAACAGCACAAACAAGAATGGAAGTTTATAATAGGGAAAAAAAAAAAAAAAAAAAAAAAGGAAAAAAAAGAACCTTAATAGAAGAAAAAGGTAGCAAAAGAAGAAACATTCACTTAGTCCCTAAGGAACTGAATAGTATATATAACGTTGATTTGTCAGGAAAAAAACTATTGACTTTGTTGTTCACATTGAGCTTCAGACGGTAAATAAACTTGTGAAAATCAGATTTGTAGGTAAGCAACAAAACAATCCACCTGCCATAGCCTTAGTTTCTATCTCAAACAAAGGAAAAAGTCTACTAAAAAGATGTAAGAACTAAGGTGTTGATTATTTTCTTGATATGACACCAGAATAATATTGGTATGTAACTAACCTCTAGAGCTCAGAAATTTGCACTCTGGGGTCAATTAGTACTAATACAATGGAAATCAAACTGTGGAAGGCATCCAAGGCAGAGCTCAGTTGCTTTAGCTTGCTTTGGCTATACTCATAGTTTATCCATAGTCTTTACTCAGCTTCTATCAAATTTAACTGCAATCAAATCTATCCTGAAATTTAATTTACAGGAAAATGAGTAATCCAGAAACTGAAGCCAGCAGGTATGATGATACTGTTTCCCAGAAAGAGACTGGTTTTGTAGTTCCACTATTGTAGAACACATATAACAAAATTGCAAAAAGCAGAGTAAATGAAGGCATTTATTCACCACCTTTACATGAACACGTATCACAACCGTATTTATATATACCAAATTGGATCAGACTAAGAACTCTTTAGCCTTTGAATAAAGTTATTCTGCTGCTGATGGATGGTTGCACTCCAGCCATCCATAAGCTGAAAAGCAAAGTACAGCATGGAAGTGAAACAGGTGTTTGACTGCCTGGAAACATTTCCAGGTCAGGGAACCTTTCCCTGCCCTACTAAGGCAATTTTTGACCATTTTTGGACGTCTGGTGTCAAGGTATTGCTGCTGTTTCAACAACTAAGTAAAATTCTATTTGTCAGGCCACCTATTGCTAAAGATCATGAAATTAAAATTAGGAAGTGTTCCCTATTTTCCATTAACCACAAAATTTTTTTTTTTTTTTTTAAAGGAAATTAACTTGCACATCTCATTTTCACCACTCTCATTTGATTCAGCTCAACTGGTATTTTATTATTATTATTATTCCTGGTTATATCCCAATTTAATGGGCTTTAGACTTATAGTGGTCCAGAAGAAACAAACTGAAGAAGCAAACTCTCCTGTGACCCATCAAGTACTTTGCATGGTCATGCTTGAACAAAACCAAAACAATTTAAAATTAAGTTTTACACTCTATAAACATACAAACACAGTCCCAATGACAGCACGACTTGTGTTTTCCTTTGTTGGTCAGAAGTGAACTTCAGTAGTAAACAGTGGAGTGCCAAATTTCCATGTCTGAATACTGAAGACTTAGCCTTGTTATTAGTATGGGACAGAGAAAGGTAGACCTAAGGCAAATTAAGCTAAGCCTTTTTCACTTAGGCCCAGATCCAGAGCTTTCTATTAGCTCTTAACTCACATTTGTTTCAATCTCCCTCAGAGAATTAGGCAGCTACATATGAGGTCTGCTTTTAAATAACCTTGTGAACCTGGGACTTAATTTACAAAGTGCTTAATGGAGGTTAAGGGTAATTTATTTATGAATATTCTCCTGTGCTTCCATTCCAGAAACCGGGGCTGGCATTAAGTTAACTACTGGAAATTGCCTTGACAAAATATGGATTCGTGATCTAGTGCTGAACTAGCAACAGTCAGTGCTTGCAAGAAGAGGTTTTGAGCACATTTTGACTAGCAAAAAAACTTTATACTTAGCAGAAGTTGGATTTTTATATTGAAATCTCTGGAAATGACTTAGAAACTTTTTTTTTTTTTAATCAAGAAAATATTCTACAAAGGTTGACTGATTATAAGCTCATACTACACAAGACTGAAATAAGTGACAACTGGACATAAAACAAATCCAATCAATTCCTAATAAATCCTTTATTCTAACTTTCCCAAATTCATGTTTGCTTCTGACAAACTTGTTGGAAGAGCCAAGATCTCCTAGAATATGCATGATTAAATCTTGGAGTGAGGTTTGTTCCCTCAGCCATTCCCTTCTTAGAGGTTCTGCTCCCTAAGATGAGAGGCTCCTTAGTCAGACCTAACTCAAGTTTTTCAATACTCAACCTAACGTTGTAACTGCTTGTTATTTCCAAAGTCAGGATGGGATTTCCACATGCCAGCTGATCCCACGCATGCCTTCGGCACGTAGCAGGTGTGCACACAGCCAGCTTGCCTCCTACCTCCTCATTGCTTGAAATAAAATTAAAGCAGCAATTGCCAAAACAAGGTATGTGCAACAGTGACAGCAAAACCACCAAAACTTGTTGTAATCCATGCTTATTTACAAATGGTCTTTCAACAGATAACAGCTTTCACTCATGAAGCCTGGGATGATCTGGAGTGACAGAACCACAAACACAAGCAAAGCTCACACTCTAGTTAACTTTCCCAGGAAGCCTGGAGTCACACTGCAGCACATCAGAGCAGTTCAGATTCACACTTTTGTTTTCCTCAAAGTAGTTTTACCATGCCCACATTCGCTGTGTATTTAATTCATTTTAAAGCACTATATTCCTCTTGAAAAAGAACAAAACTCAAGAAAGACCTATCCACTTTAAGACATACAAAATTGATTACTAGTTTAAAAATCATTACATGGTTACACATTTTTCTTAAAGTGCTTCTTCACTGAGCAATATTTATCATGTAACTGAAGTGGTTTTTGGTGTAGATATATAACAATTGGCATGAAAACACTGTTCTAATGAATGATCCTCATGGTTTCTGTAAAACCCAATGACCCTAAGAAAAGGGAATAATAGATTATTTTTGTATTGACTTTTTTTTTATTTTGAAGCTGTTAAACTTTTGTCTTTTTTCTTAGTATACACACTTCAGCTCATGCAGCTTGCCTCAGTTTATGTTCATACATGTTCTGGCATTTGGTGTTGCATAAAGACAGAAGATATATTTGTATTGATTAAATTCCACAATGGTAACACATTTATTTTGACTGATTCTGACTGATTCTTGAATTACATGTAGGTCAGAGTAATGTAATACCGTATTGCTAGTTTCTATATTAGATGCTAAAAATCCATTACAAGATACTGAAAGTTATTATGCAATGGTGAATGAAGGTTCTTCATCTTTTTCTTAACTAATCAGCCTTGAAAAAGCAGAATTTTTGCATTAAAAAACACAAACTAAGGCATGGCTTTTTTCTTTGGTGAAATTATCATCTAAAGATTCCGCTCATGGTCACACAGAGGGTAAATGAAAGCAAAAATGAAAATATGGCATGGTTCTCAAGGGTTTGGACTTGAGCTTTTCCAATGAAGAACAGCTTTTGGGACCAGAAATATAGCTGGCTCCTACTTGTAATTAGAGGCAAAGTCCTGGAACTAACTAGTTTTGTATAAAAACTTTCAAAAGGTTAAATGTGAAAAGGTATAGAAAGCAAGCGACACTTTACTGGGGTTACTGGTTTTGGAATTTACCTTATATTTAACAATGAGGGCTGCTATGGCTTTACAGCTCAGGATGACTCTCAAGGAAGTGAAATCACCTCTGGTGCTTCCCTTTAATGAAAAGAGTTGCTAGTTATTTGTAGTTCCAGCAAAAGAAGTAATTCAAGCCTTATTCTTCCATATTCTTCTACATCTTTGAAACAGAATGGAGCTCCAAATAGTTCACCTGCCTATTTGCAGTAGTATCTACCTAGGGAGGTCAGGGCAAGATTAGCATCTCATCAGTACCTGCTTGCTGACCCAAGATACTCAATTCACTTCCCAACATACTGGTTAGTTCAATGAACTCTAGGACAGTAGATTAGAAGGATAACATGAAAAATGAATTGCTTTGCTGACTATAAAACTGGAGATAGTGTACTACCTATTTTCTACTTCCTGAAATAGTCTTCAAGTCTCTTTTCACAAGAGACATTGATTGCTCAGACTTAATTCAAGGTGAAGTTTTCCAATTTCTACAAGAATACTTTGAAATCTTTCCCAATAAATATATAAACATGATTTACAGAAATTTGCTTCATGCAAATTTGATGGTTCAGAGAAAATTGATACAAAATACACTAACATAGCTGCTAGGCAGCAGCCCCAGCCTAACTACCACTCAACAACATAAAATAAAAGATATAAATGAGCACAAAGGAATAAAAGATATAAATGAGCACAATACCCAGTCTTCATGAAATTAGAGAGATCTGTGTTCCTACTGTAATCTCTTTTGAAGCATCAGGCCAAGTGTTGCTAATGAGAGACTGAGTTACTAGCACATACTTCCCGTTACTCAAGCACAGCCTGTCCAGTAACCAGGCATGGACAAAGTGATAACCAACTATACAGAAGAACCGTTGTTGTTGCATATGTGATGCAAAATATCTCAGAAAGAATGACAAATTACATATTTTGGCAGATTTAAATAAAAGCTTTCCAGGTGCTGAAAGAAGTAGAATGTCATCTGGTTGTATCTTTGTGACTAATGGAATTGGACAACGTGTTCTTGTAAATATTGTATTGTGATTTGTCAGCAAGTATAAAGGAAGCAGAAGAGTTCTGATTTCAAGCAACAGAGAATTCAAGGAAGCCCAAGCTTAAATGTCTTGCTGGTAATACTTGAAATTACTCAACCTGAAGTAATTTTAAATTTAGCAGATGGAACTCTCTAATGACAAAACTCAACATGATTAATCTGTGATTTAAATACTATTCTACTCTAAAGTGTTCAAAAAAGCTGAAACCAAATATTGTAACCATAGCTAATTTCAGAACAAATGAGAACATTGCAACATAGGATTCAAACCAAAACATGGAAGCTGAATATTAAACAAGGTCTAGGAGAAAAAACAGTCATATAATTTAAAGTGTCATTCTAAAAAAATTAATGGACATGAAAAGCAATTTTAAGTAGTCTAGTTAGAAAAGGTAAACAAACAGGTTCTCATGTAATCAAACCCACTGAGCTCTACCTGAAGTGTCAAATTGTGTAACTGTAGATGTAAGATGAAAGCTAGTTCAGAACCATGACCTAGACTCACCTCAAAGAAGAGGTGAAAGAATTAATATTTATTTGAAGCCCTCAGTTACTTTGGTGCATCATAAGCATCAGATTATTATAATCTCTCACTAGAAGTATCTACAAACAAAAAGATTGCCAACAGCACTATTTTTTTCCTTAGTCAACCCAGTCAGAAGTGAACGTGGTTACTTTTTTCTGATGGAAAATTTTACTATTTTAGGAAATTCTGCTAAAAAAATACTGCTCAGGAAATTGACATGCGATCACCAAAAAATATCATTTAAAATCGAGGAGGCTTGCAGGCTTGAATAACTATGTACCTGCCAAGCAGGAGCACGGGCAGACAAATACATATATGACAATTTCTGAATTTATCAACCAAAGGCTGATCTACTCCCACTTGTGGCCCAAGAACTAGTTTATCGATAGGAACGTACTGTGTAAATATCAGTTCAAGGGAATCATCAATGTCATTAATCCCAGAATAGGGAACAAGTCAACAAGAGCAAAAAGCACCAATGCCCTTATACCACAGTAGTTTGTGAAGAGAACAAATACATACATCACAGAATTGCACTGATATTATTGCCTTGTCATCCAGGGAGAGCCTTCTAGTATTAAAACGGTGCATGCTCGTTTTAATCATCCATGGCATAAGCATTCAGGCTATGCCATTTCATTTTTTACTTTGCCAGAAGGAATACTGGTGTCACTGTCTAGTTCTCCTCTTCTGACATATCTTGGAAGGCGTCTTTCAGTATGATGAAGATTAAAATGCTGTTATCAGTAGGAAACGGGATTGAATCCAACAGATTCGTGTCATGCCCCTTCCCTGCCCCCCAAGAAGGAAGTTTGTATAGGAAAAAAGTAGGTGCTGCATAAAGAGAAACATGATAGGAAAAAAAAAAAAAAAAGATAATCCAGAGAAAGAGATAAGCAGTGAAAAAAAATCTGAACTGGCTGACAAAAGGAATCTTAGTAGACAGCTCCCAGAATTTAACACAATACAATTTGTGTGGCTCAGCTGGAGATTTCAGGATGAAGGAGGCTGCCTATGAGGCCTGTAATATCTTTGATCTTAGGGCAAGCCCACTGAGATGGCAGCATTCACCCCCACCAGGGACAACGCTCCTTCTCATGGCATGGCACTCCTTCCACAATAGCTATGTTGGACAAATATCCAGCGAACGTCTCAGAATTGACTGGGAGGTGTCATCCACTCCTGTAGAAAAAGTGATAAAGGTTTGAATGTTTTCCCCCTTGCTCTGGAGGGAGGTAAAAACTCAGAATTGGGGCGGTTGCTCTGAAGAAAGGGGATTCTAAAAAGCATCATTTTGGGAGAATCACAAGAAATTGTCTCTTCATGGTGTCTACTGAAAAAAATCCTGGCACTTTGACAGGAACAGTCTAGGCTGATAGAGAAGCAGAGCACCCACGTGTATTTTTTCCCTCCCTTGACTGGTTGCTGAAGGGGCAGGGAGGCTGCAGGGTACTCAGCATCTTCATCTCACAGAAAGATATTCAGAAGCAAAGATCTCAATATCATTTTCTTCAGACAAAGCTTTCTTGAGTGGAAAATACTTTCTTTCCCATAGAAAATATTTGATTTCACCAAAAAGGCATTTTATTTAAGAGACCCAAGGGATTTTACCACCCAATAAAACCAACTTCACTATTCTTTTTATGTTGTTAGGAACAGGTTATTAGCTCTTGAGAAATCATTACATTGCCTTTCTATTTAGATCCCCCCCCCCCTTTTTTTTTTTAATTATTTTTTATAAATACTGTTTCCAAAGGAATAACTTAACAATAAGCTTCCTTTCCAACTCTTGGAGTTACTGCTCTTTCCCATCTCAACTGCTCCTCCCAGCACCCCAGTATTTCACATGCCTGTCTGGAGCCACGGGGGTCTTTGAGAAGTCCTCAGCCTCAGAAGGTGAAATGCTGCCTGTCTTAACACACAGGTATGCCTAGACCATCCCTTGTGTTTCCTGGAAAAGGTTCAAGCCATCAGCTGGAAGATTCAGGTTACCAAGCATAAATGGTCAGTAAAATTTCCAGCCTCAGAAATGACACAAGAACTGGGAAGGTAGAAGTAAGTAAAGATTAAATGGAACCTCCACTCCTCAGAAATACACATGAAACAATAAGCAGTGAAACCACAGAACCTCCTTGTGCCCCCTCAGCATCATGCAGTGAATCAAGCTCAAGGCCCTTTTAACTTTAGTGGCTGTATTTTTGCTCCGTGTTACCAAATTGATCCCTTAATCTCCATGTGCCAAGTGAACTCCGTTCTCACACAGCTCACCTCCTTCCAAAGCCCTGCTGCAGCCTCAGGGGCTGCCCGTGCTCTGTCAAGGCTCCCAGGTACTTACTGCAGTGATTCATTCAGGAACTCTACGTTCATAACCATTAATGCCTAAAACAAACTTTTTATCAGTTTCAGGTTGGGACATTACTTCTTCATTCTTTCTTAAGTCTTATTTCAGGGATTTTTAACAACTATTGAAAGTATTCCTTAGAATATCCAGGAACACAAACAAATCAATGTCACTCTTCTAGATAAATGTGCTCAAAGAATGAGTCAAAAATATTAATTAATTACAGACAATGAATTATCAGTCTCTGAGCAAGGAACATCAAATGCAAAATATCTTAAATAAGACAGTTGTATTTCCCTTATTCTGCAATGTAGCCAGTACTATATAATAAACAGCACTTCACACTTTGCATCATTTGAAAATTCACCTGTCCTGGCTTTACTAAAAAGTCAATGTAGAATAAATACCAACAATTTTATGTGAATTAAATTTGGCTGAATAAAAAAAAAAAAAAAAAACAAACAAAAAAAACCACACACACATATCAAACATTGTAACAACTCCACCTAGTTTACTGTATGTTTTTACTAGGAAACTGTGGTCTTCCTGTGCCAAACACCTCCAGAAAGACTACTCTAAACCAGGAAGCCTTGAAAAAATGCAAATGAATTCATGTATTTTTCCTGCTCTCCATGTAGACACAAAATCTTCATTCAAACCCTCCCATTTTCAGCTGAACTCACAGCCTCTCGAATAATTAGAACAAATTCTTGCCACAGTTAGCTCACTCTGACCTTAGGGAAGTATTGCTCTAGAAAATCAGAAAGCAGTGTGCCCGCTGGCCTTAGGGATATAATCAGATAGATCCGATTCCTTCTCATTCTGAGGTCAGGAGCATCTAAGAATAGACACAAATAAGAAAGTTATTCAGCATAAGCTTTCAGAGACAAAGCTACTTCAATTGAAAGCTTCTTTACTGTTCACTCACCTGCCTCAAAAGGCTGGGAGCCCGTGTTCCTCCTGCAGGTGATACCTCACTCTAAGCTGTTTACAGCTTCGGCACCTCCTGAACCTGGGAGCAGCCTGCTACAGGCTCCCTTCGTTATGGCAGCTCTTATCACTGGGCAATCAGGGAACACAGGATGCTGGGCCTTGCCTCAGCAGCACCATGCATTTGGAGTGACACCACGGACCAGGGCTCCTGTGAACACCAGCTGTTACCCCAGCCAGCAAGAGGTGGGGGAGTAGCAAGTGGAGTTGAGGACGTCTTTCCCGGGAGGCAACAGGAGCAGAAAAGCACTAATGAAAATCAAGACTCGAAGAAAAATGAGTAAAAGCTATGAACAGATGGGAGGGTTTCCCTCCCTGGTGGTACAAATTCTTATTTTAAGAACAGCTTTTACATCTCTCATCCCTTACAGGACAGGTGCAGTGGGAACATCCTCTACTGCGACAGAAATGCTTTGCTTGGAAACCACTTCTGGATGTCTGGAGCTAAGACACGGTGTCACCTGGTTAATAAGCTGCTTTGTGGATTTGTGATCCTTCTTCAGCCTTGTACACAACTCCTTGCACACTTCTATTTACCACTCCTGTAGCAATCGAGCAGAAGCACTGAAATCTTTGTGGTTTTCTGTTCTTGGAAAGGAAGATGAACAAAGCAAGCACAATCCTGCCTTGTAAGTATTCCAGCAGAGACACCTGATGAGTGAAAGTTCTGATGAGGTACTGACAGCTAGAAACTCAGACTTATAATCATCCTCGGGGTACTTAATAGGCTTAACTAATAATGCCTTTAAATATCAACTTCACATAAGCCATTAGTTGAGTCATAGATCTCTGTTTAAATGAGTACCTGGGAAATCTGAACAACTCTTGCATGACATTTTTGAAAGCTGAAACGTGCCTTATGGAGGGAGCTTCATTCCCTGGTGTAAGAGTCACTGCAGACAGTACCAACCCAGCCTCCTGAAATTAAACACAACAGCTCATACATTTGATCAGGAAGGATCCAAAACAGTCACACGATAAGCAGGAGGTGACCGTAATTTGATTTGATGTTAGCAGCCCAGGGACACGAGTTGCTTCAGTAGATAACTGAAATGTGATGCCAAGTGGCTGTTGCTGGCTCTGGGACAATTTCCAACCTCCTGAGAACAAGAGGCCTGAAGACGCCGCTCTGGAGCAGGTTTCTGCACAGCTCAGCGCTGCGTCTCTTCGTAACACCACAGTAACACCATGCCATGCATTTGTTAGCGCTTAGGGACAGAGATGCACCTCTATTCTTGCTCAATGAGCACTTGGGGTAAATAGACAGTGTCCAAATACAGAGTTTTCCAGTCTTAAGAACTGACTGAAACTGAGTAGAACACATGAAAGCAGGCAAGTGTATTTTCTTTTATTTTAGACTTAACCTTCCTTCAAACATCAATTGTACTTCTGGTATTTCAATATTTGTCTTGTCCTGAAGTTTCTTTATGGTATTCATTTCTGGAGATGCGTATATATATCTTTCATTTTAATTATAGTTTCAAGATACTTGTTAACCTATGATTAGCACAGTGTGAAGCTGAAGGGGAGCATCCATTGGGCCCAGAATAACCTTGTAATTTTCTCCCTATTCTCAGCTTTCTAAGCTCCGAGGCTCCAGATTGTTTGATTCCTGTTTGGATTTTTAGCCCATCATGAACGTGACACAGTTGCTAAGATACATATCAGTCTGCACCATGTTGATACAATATTATTTAAACACTTTAAAGGGCAGCCTAACAGTTCTCTATAAACACACATCTCCGCTGTAAACTGTTCTCAGCAGAAACAAGCAGCCTGACACCAAAATTAAATCCAGGGTATTTCAAAGATTACTGTGCAAGGCTTCACGAGCATCCTCCCACGACCACCACAGCACCTCGCAGACAACACGGGTGTGTTGCCACCCCTGCTCTAGACTCAGTGCGCACACATCCCCTGGCACTATGCCTGCAGCTCTGCATCGAGCGAGATTCCTCTCCTGCTACCACTGTCACGAATACGCAGCGAATTTGATTTGATGTTAGCAGCCCAGGGACACAAGTTGCTTCAGTTACCTGCCCAAAGTCAGCCCAACCAGAGCAGCTGGGGCTGAGCCGGGGTTCCTGCCCACAGCCCTCACGTGCTGCCTTGCTGCACATCACCACACCGCTTCTCGTGCGGCAGCCAGGGGCCCTGCTCAAGGCCAAAGACCTTGCTGCACCACGTGCTGGTGAAATTTAAATTAGAAGCTTAAAAAGCAAGGCAAGAGATTCGCATGGCCAGCAGGAAAATACTAGGAAATAACACAGAGCAGGCCTGGTGCACCTTCCTGTGTGACCACCCAGTTTCCCTCTGCATCTGACAGCGCCCTGCAAACCACCAATAAACCCCAGCAGCCCGCTCGCCACGGGACAGCTCTGCAACAACACTGATTTTAGTAGCTGTTACAAAGAACAGCAACTCCCATGACCATTTCCAACTTTCTGAAGCTAGTGAGGAATATTTTAATGGCAAAACATCCAGACTTCAGAAGTACATAGTGGGGGCCCAAGATTCAAGGACGAGAATGTCTCACAGTGGCTGTCAACAGTCACCCCCTGCACCAAACTGAACAGAACACGTTTTCAAACCAAAAACATATCCCAAAACAGTACACCGTTTCCAGTGTGGAAAAAAATATCTATTTACAGCATACCTTGGTGAGTCCAGCATACCATAAGCCTCAGAGCTGTTTCACAAGTGCCAGGCATCTATGTAGGCAACGCAGGTGCTCTGAGTACCTGGAATTACTCTGCCACTTACTCAATTAAGGGTTGTGGTTTTTTTAATACACAAAGTGTACCAAGTTTCTTTGCATTGGCTTTAAATTACAACAGTATCTTAGGATGTTTTCTCAGTGTTATTTAACTGTATTACTTAAGATACTGGTAAATATTTATTGCCTCCCTGTAATTCTTGCTTCCTCCACTAGAGCACATCCAGTCTATTCATAAATATCTCCTTTTTTTTTTTTTTTTTTTTTTTTAATCAAACTGCAATTTTTTCAATGCTGCTTTAACTCCACTTCTGCCTGGTTTCACCTCTGCTTAGATGTTTCTGTTCAGCCTGTGAAGCACTAAGCTGAAGATGCTGAGATGGCAGCAGCCAGGAGCTCAGCTAGCCAGCCAAGCCCACAGCCACCAGGCAGGACAGGGCTGCAGCAGAACTGGAGACCAACCCCACTTCCATCCTCCTTAGGAAGGGAACAAGATCCTTGGGCTGAGTTTAAATGCAGCTCCTGGGCCCACGGCAGGTAAGGTGGGTGCTGGAGGCTCCAGGTGTTGCTGGTCAGGACCAATAAGGAAAATGAGTGTCCACGCTGGCCTGACACCACACACAGAGCCAGGGGCGTTGCAGTAGGACAGAAATGACAGCAAAGTGTCGCTGCCAGGTGAGATGCAAGGTCAGTTATTCAGGAGAGGACAGAAGGGTGGCCTACAGCTATATGGCTTTTAAGTTAATACGCTCACTTGCCTGATGCCTCGTTAGGCACTTGTGAGAATCCTCTACAGAATGAAACTAACAAAATATTAAATATCTATAACATATAAGGAAATACTTTTTTATATATATTTTTCCTGAAAATATTTTCAACCTTCCTAACCCAGGGAAATTATAACATATTGATTTATTTTGGGTGCACTGTCTCATCTGCCCAAAAGTTCTCAACTGTTCTTCATGAGTCTCAGGGCTTGTTTCAGGGGCATTTTCTTAATATTCACGATCTCCACTGACACTATGCCCACAGACAGTTCTTCTGAAAGACCACACCATGGCCACTGACCTTGTGTTAATGTGTCACCAGGTCCACTCCAACCGTTTTATGTTTTCTTTGCAGACCACACAAACATTTTAAAACTTATTCTTAAAGCCTGTTGCCAAAAGGAACAAGGTTTTTAGTCTTTCCTACTCCCAGTTCATAAGCTTTCATGAACAACACCAAAAAGTTGTTTTTGACTTGTTCAATTTTTTATATTAATGTAGAACAGCTACTTAAAGTTAAAACTGCATTTCAAAATGTAAAAACATCCTGCTTTGGAAATAAAATCATAGGATTTTATCACAAGAATTATAGGATTTTAACATCCAAGAATTGATTCATATATTTTTTAATCAAAACCAGAATTTTCTTATGTTTTGGTATCAATACAAAAGGATAACTAGACAATTTTTTTGGCAAGAATTTACTAGTCAACTGTACTTCCTGTTCTATGCACTTATCCTCCTGGTATGTCCTCACATTTATAATATCTATACAAGTTTTTCTTGGCCACATGGTGTTTCATTCTATTGTGAACATCGTCCCCCCTCCCCAATGAAAATTGAAAGCAATCCAATTAATATCTTCTTTTAAGCCAAGGCTGAGTGATACAGTACAATCAGACCACTAATGGCACAAATTATCCCACCTGGCAATCCTTCATTATTCTGCTCATCCTGCCAGCCTGGAGCAGATGCTTGCCTCCTTTCTGCACAGCCACCAGCACTCTGCAAGCCCGGCAGTGCCTCCGAGCACATGATGAGTGCTCAGGGCTTTCAGCAATGCGAGAGATGGCATCAGTGGCCAAAATATTGTACATACATAGCTGCCTGCTGTAGGCACCTCTCTCCTTGTAAACTGACTGTCATTTCAAAAAAGTCACTTGCTTCAGGAATGACAGCAGGAAAACTCTTTTGCCGCCACTTAGCTATGCAGGCATTCTCTGCTTTCTTTTCCCTAAAGATGTCTCTTTGATTTGAAAATCACTATGTAAGCTAGGAGGTAGGAAGACATGGAATACTTTATTTTGTATGAAGTGCTAAATGACAGAAGACATTACCATTTGTTGATGCTCACAAAGCATTTTTTTGTCATAGTGTGGCAATTGCCAGGCCTCTTGTGTTGGAGACAGATGATCATGGAAAAGCCATTGGAGATGAAGCAGAGCACAGCGGAGGCACCTGGTCACAACACAGATGACACCTGCTAGTACGAGGGCTTTGTTGCAGAGGGAGGGAGAACAGAAACTATTCTCTAGTCCTGCTCTGATCTCATGAACAAACCATGGAAATTCAGTAAATAAGAACCTTATGGAGAGTCAAGATGTTCCATTCAAGATGTTCTATTACATATTTGTAGGTAAATATTTCCACTATTTTTTAAAGAAAATAAACCAAAGTACTGTTTTAAGATCCTGGTGCTTGGATGAATATTGAACTCAGCATACATTCTTCATCCTGAATTTATCATTAGTAAGTGTTCCCACGTGTTCTTAGGCCACAATGACACTCTCTAGTTAGGAGTTATGAGGAAGGTGATAATGTGAGAAAAATCAATAGTGTTATTTTAAAATGTTCAGCCATGAAAGAACAATCAACGCTTGAAAAGACCAGAAACAATCAATTTCAATGAGCAGTTAATATTAGGTAACAAGGCAGCAAAGCCATAGATAAAGATTAAACTGATGGGAAAGAATATTTAAGGCATTAATTAGATACACTAGAGCTTAATGCCCCCCAGAAGAGTTTTTAAAAGAAGGCTCTATCTTAAAGTTTCACAATCCTTTGCAGAACTGTATCAATCGAATAGCACATGACAAATGGGATGCTGAAAACTATTTTTTAAAACAATTATAATTTGTTAAACTTAAGTATATACTGATGGCTGGATTTTGCAAGAGTAGGTGATGACTGACAATCCTTTCCCCCTATGAAGGCAATATTGTACTCCCCAGAATAAAGATACTCACACACCTAAGTGCCTAAATCTATGGTAAGGTAAATTACATTGTTAGGATTTCGAGTTGGAGCTGTCCTAACATAAACACTATGACACCTTCTTACTGTGAAAGACATGAATGCCAAAAAAGCAGATGACCCTACTTTCTCATTCTTGTTCAGAGACACTTGGAATCTGGTAACTATTTTCTTGTACTATATGCATACAGGTGGTATGTCCCCTCTTTGTCACGGCAAACCAATGTACATGTATTCTTTATTTCAGAGGCTTACAGGGGAGTTTTCAAGAGAAGAGAAGAATACCATAAGACATTAAAATAAATAAAAAAAAAAAAAGAAAAAGAAATAAAAGAGAGAGAAAGAAAGAAAAATAAACCATCTAATAGCAGGAATCTGTAAACCACCTGTAAGGTGCAGATAATAGAAGATGGGACTATATTTAGAAGTTGGGGGAAGGAGGCAACAGCATACTCAGGGCTGAAATCTCCAAAGTTTTAAATGTTCTCCGAAATACAGTGAGACAGGTTGTCACTGGACTCACATTAAGGCTTTGATTTACCCTTGACAGTATCAGACAGCCAATAACAGTCTACCCAAAGATAAATCAAACTGGTATAAAATAATCTCTGTCTAGAATAAATCTAAGAGTGCATTCCTCTTAGCTAGCACAGCAGTAAATGTAGCATTAATTATTCTTTGTTGTATTATCAAGTGCTCTTCAGTAGAGATACAATTTGAAGGACAGAGGACTCTTTGTCATAAGCAAAAATCCCAGGTCAGCATTTTGCCTGATTTCCTATTAGTTTGTCATGGAAACAGTATAAAAGTTTTCTAAGACATGCCTTGAACTAGCAGAACATATAACAGCTATATTTCACCATACCAAGGATAGTAGACAACCCTTCCCTCCCTCAGTCTCACCATTGTCACTTCACAGAGCATTCATTTATCTTGTGGACATATAAAGGAAAACCTGAGCAAAAAGAACTATGTATTAATTCTATCTCAGAGAGAGGGGAGAAAGGTGATTTACCTGTGGTAGAAGTCTGTTAACAAAAACAGTTGTGTCTCTGTGGAAATGAAATAGGCAGTAAGAACTTTCTTGCAGAAGTACAGAAAGCCTGAGCTCAAATTTGCTTTCCTATGTTCCTGAAGGTGAGATTATGTTTAGATTATGCTAACTTGGATTAAAACTTGTCAAAATATTAAATTTCTTTTTGGTAGCAAGTCTTAAAATATCATGTGTATTTGAATGCCCAAACCAGATGGAAAGTAGAGGAATCTCAATTTTTTTGAAAAAAAAAAAACATTTACATGAAGTGTTACTTAGTTCATTTCAAAAAATGTTATTATGAAGGGTTCTCAGCGTTTCTCAGATAGACGTTCAGAGTATTAATTCAGACAGCATACTAGAGATTTTTACATCTCTCTGTATCTACAAAAATACCATAAGTGATAAAACAGAGGAGAGCCTCCGAGTAGAAATGAAATGCCAGCAAGAGTACAAGGCAGCGTAGTAACTGGTCAACGTGGTAACTGGTCAAATTCCTAGTACCCTCCAGTCCATAGCACTAAATCCCTGACACGTGTTGGTAAAATCATTCTAGAATCATCTGTGGTAACTATGTGCAGTACCTGTTTCTGAAGTGCTTACAGTGATACCCTGGTCACACACGAAGGCACACACAGGAATGCGTACAGTGCCAGAGCAGGCCCCTAATCTGGTATTCCCTTGAGATGTCTGGGTGGGCTTTCCCTCAAAGATACATCCACTTTCAGCTTTCCATTCCTCAAAGTGATTCTGCAAATCCAGAACAGTGCTGCAAGATGCTCTAAACAGGATATTCAGGGTCTAGGAGATGCCTAATTACCCTTCTAGATGTTAATTTTCAAACATTTGACTCAGTGTACAGTACCGCAGGTTTTCCCCTGCTGACCACACTCTCCTTGTCTTACATTGGCAGGTTCTGATTGAGGTATTGCTTGCAGCCTCGAATACCCTGAACACATTGGATTTCAGTTATTTTGGATATTTCATCCCTTCTTTTGTGGTACCACTAGATTATGTGCCTTTAAGAAGTTAGGCCAGACATACTGTCACAATCGTCAAGGAGAGAAATGGCCAGAACATAGCAGGAAAGGCTTACAGATGCTGTGTGCAGAAATTTCAATTGGAACAATTCAGAGGGTGAAGCAACATCTCCACAGTTCATATGGTTACAACAGCACAGCAGAAATGTATGCCAGGAGGACACAATGTTTTCCCCTGGTGCATTCATTCTTTTGAATCAGTCTTTATTTTTCATTCCTGCTTGACTTTCTTCCACTGCATGAAAATACACAAAAGAGGCCTCATATCTATATTGCTCTGAAATCTCTCAATCTTCATGTCAGTCTAGAGCAGCATCTGCTGCTGCCTAGCCCAGAAACCAGCATCCAGGGGATGATGGAACAGATTGGGGCGGACACAACCTTACAGCCTGCTGCAAATCACTCATGACAAATTTTGCATGGAGACCTCATCATGGCTCCGCTTCCCAAACCCATTGCTCCCAATGCCACAGGGTGTGCCAGCACAGCCCAGCTCACCACAGCCACCTGCAGGCAAGTGCCATCAGCCCTGCTGGAGCTCAGTGCCCTACTATCTGACACGCCAGGCAGTGTTCGGCCAGGCAAACACTTGCCATAGAGAATTTATCCTGTCAGGTTATTGCATATGTAGTTTCTGTCACTATATCACGACCTTTCTCACACACAGGATAGGAGCCAGGGGAAAGAATGTGTTGGGTTCAGACTTCTTGGATGGACCACACAGCAGAAACTCAGGTGAGACCAAAAGCCAGGCAGAAAGTGAATGCCTCTACACTAGAGATTCAGTTGCTGTGTTTACAAGAACAACTAAAAAAAAAAAAAAAAAAAAAAAAAAAAAAAAAAAAAAAAACTGAAGAATTTAGGAAGGAAAAGAGCTCTTTGATGGGAGCTGAATTCCACAGGAGTTACTTTGAATTACACCAGCCAGCTGGAGACCCAGGGAAGGCTGATTTTCCATTGCCTGGCACCTTGTAGAATCATTTACACTCTTCAAGTGGACATAAAAACGTTACCAACCATAACAGCACCGTTTAACACCCACTTTGCAGAGGTGCTAATGTCTAAACAAAGTATAAGGTCATAGAGCACACGGCCCAGAGAAATTCAATTAGGAGTGGTGGCTGAGGAAGTGCAGGCTCCCCTCCTGCACTGACAGCCAGGGCGTGCCTCCCCCACTTCCCCAGGCACTGCACCACCTTTCTGCGGGAACACGGCACAGCAGGTCAAATAATTTTTCTGAGTTTACCTTTTGGTGGGTGTCGTACATGCTGGTGAACTGCACCCCTGTGATCTCCCGTCATCTGGGGTGATGCTTCTGAGATGGCCACAGTGCTCTGCTTGCTTCCACGTCAGCCAGCACAGGGCCTGTCCCCACAGGAAACATCCAGAAGGCCGCCATTATCTGAAATGAGAGCGCAGGAGGGAGGTTGGGATGCTTGCTCAAGATGGCGGGCATGACCCACAGGAATCTCGTCAGCCCAAAGCCTGCTTGGCACACCTGAACATGGGGTAGCTGTGCCCTTGCTTGTCTCACAGGCTGGAGACCAGAGCTCTGGCTGCTGGCTCACCTCAGTGGCTTTCTTGCACCGAAGCCTGATGTTTACCACTTACCACCATTTTCCCAGTCATTTCTCACTCCCTAACTCCAACCGCCACACTCCCGCAACCTGCGTTGTGAGACCCAGCCTGTGTGAAAACAAGAGAGCCCGTCCCTCATGGTGGGGCCCGAGCTGCTTCCCCTCTGTCCTCCTCAGGCTGGGGCCCTTCTGTGGTGGCCTACCTCACACCTTTTCATCTTCCTGAAATGCTTGGATTTTTATGTATTTATTTATTTATTTTTAACATAACCTTGAGGCAGCAGTTTTATTTTTATTTTGGTTATATCAGTAAAGCTGTACATCTATAATGTGAAGGGGTTTAATCCAATGCATTTCATGTTTCTCTAAAGGATTTCGAAAACATTTCTGCTAAATTCAACTGCATCTCAGAGTAAATCATGTATTCCGGTAAAATGATCCAGTCACATATTGTGGCTGTATTTGGATCAAGTGAAGCCTCTAAGCACCTGGCCCAGTTGTACCAGAAGCTTATGTACCACCACTGGCCCCCAGAAGGGAAAGCGACCCAGCTTCCTGAGAAGCCCAACCCCAGAAGCCTACTCCCCTCCCAGATCCCATCATCTCCTGTCATCCCAGTTGATGTACCCTGCACAACCTCCTACAATGCCCCTGCTCCTCAGAGGCTGCAGTGAGCTCCCAGCAGGTTTGTCACCCATTTTGCTGCCTCCAACCCCAGGGCCAGGCACAGAGCAGGAAGGTGCCCAGCCCACACCCATACCTTGCTTGAAGGTGAAGCTCTTGGACTC